GCAATTCGCATGTTTAGCAGTGGAGCTGCCAGTTTCCGCCAGCTTGGCTAGTGATCGCGACTGAGGACTCAGCCTTTTCTGCGTGTGTAAACCGGCCTCTTTGCTTTTCGTACTTTCTGCTTCACTTTGGGACATGGGTAGGATTGTGAAGCCCGTCTGCAGTTTTGCCTTTTAACGGTTTGCAGGGTCACCTTTTAGGGTAGTGCTCGGGTCGGCCATCATGGACTCCTCGTTCAATGCAGCCCTCGACAGCATGATTCTGGAGGCCATGTCAGCCTCCGGGAGGCTCGAAGGACTGGCACTACCGTGGGAGTCCGGGGCCTTGGCATTGGTTTTCGGAAGCACACCTCTAGTCTCTGAACCCATGCTTGCGGCAGAGGGTGCTTCAGACTTCAGAGTGATGCCTGTGCAATCTTCGGTGTCTTCGACGAGTGCTGGCATGCCGAGCGTGTGCCCTGACTCCGTTCTCAGCTTCACGGCTAAGCCTTTCAGTCGTGGCAGACTCCTTGAAGAGGAGAGGTGGGAGCTCGTGTACACGGGGTGGCTTCAGATTCTGCAGGCACACTCAGGTGGGAGCGAGATCGCCGACATCTTAGAAGAAGCGCAGGAGGAACAAGCTAAGGTAGCTTGTGTCCGACAGCTCTTTGGGGGCAAGGCTTTGACCACTTTAGAAAAGCGCTTGAGGCAGGTTCGGCACTACCTCAAGTGGGCCCATGAGACCGGTGCGGAAGCTTTCCCCATCGGGAACCATCAGGTGCGAATGTACATCAAACAGCTCTTGAAGGACAACGCGCCGCCTAGCAAAGTACTCGGAGCATGCGAAATAGTCAATTTTCTGGCTTATGTCGTAGGCCTGCCCGTTGCCGTCACGGCCACCAAGACTCCATGGGTCAAAGGAGTCATGCGGCAGTCCAGGTCCGAGAAAGGTGCCCCGAAGCAGGCCCGTGCCCTTACGACCGTAGAAGTGGCCCTGCTGGAGTCAATGTTGAGGAACGAAGACGTTCACGTGCAGGACAGGTTTGCGGCAGGGGCAACATCATACTCGCACAAAATGCGGCG